GAACAGGAATTCCAGAACACTTAATTGTGCTCATGAAGAACCTGTATATAGACTGGGAGGCTGTCGTTTCAACAGAAGAGGATACTTTATGGCTTAAAATCAGGAAGGTGTGCATCAGGGTTCTATCCTTTCACCATTCTTATCCAATCTATATGCTGAGCAAATAATCCGAGAACCTGGACTATTCGAAGAAGAACATGGCATCAGGATTGGAGGAAGACTCATTAACAGCCTGTGACATGCAGATGACACAAACTTGCTTGCTGAAAGTCAAGATGACTTGAGACACTTACTGATGAAGATTACACCTGAACATAAAGAAAATGAAAATCCTCACAACCCAATAAGCAACATCATGATAAATGGAGAAAAGATTAAAGTTATATGAGATTTCTTTCACTTGGATGCACAATCAACACTCATGGGAACTGCAGACAAGAAATCAGATGTGTTGCACTGGGAAAATCTGCTGCAAAAGACCTCTTTAAAGTGTTGAAGGGCAGAGATGTCATTTTGAAGACTAAGGTGTACCTAACCCAAGTCATGGTATTTTCAGTTGCCTTAAGTGCATTTGAAAGCTGGACAATGAATAAGGAAGACTGAAGAAGAGTTGATGCCTTTGAATTGTGGTGATGGAGAATAGTACAGAAAATATCATGGACTGCTGGAAGAACTAACAAATCTGTCCTGGAGGAAGTGCAGCCAGAATGCTTCTTGGAAGCAAGAATGGCCAGGCTTTGTTTCACCTCCTTTGGTCATGTTGTCAGAAGTGACCATTCCCTGTAGAAAGATATCATGCTTGGTGAAGTGGAGGCTCAGCAAAAAAGGGGAAGACCTTCAACAAGATTGGCACAGTGGCTGCCGTGACGGGCTCCAGTACAGCAAGGGTTGTGAGGATGGCGCAGGACTGGGCAGTGTTTTATTCTGTTGTCCACACGGTCGCTATGAGTCGGAGCTGCCTCCATGGCACCTATCAACAAAATATATATTTATAGATACAGGTTAAACTTCATATAACTGGATCATTCAGACTGTATCTTTTATGTCTTCTTTCACTCCACATATTTGTGAGATTTATGCATATTATTATGTATAACAGTAGTTTGTTGATTTTCATCGCTATATAGTATTTCATTGTATGAATATGGCACAATTTATTTATACTATTCATGGGCCTTTGGGGTATTTCCATTTTTGGCTACTGTGGACAATGTTGGCATGGACATTCCTGGGCATGTCTTTTGAGGCACAAATGTATGAACTTGTGGTGACATTTAGTTGGGAGTGGAAAAGAAGGATGCCCCTTATTACTGGTTCTATTCAACATTGTTCTAGATGTCTTAGACAGTGGCTCAAGGCAAAGAAAAGAAATGAATGTTACAATGTTTGGAAAGGAAGAAAGAAAACAATTCATGGATCACATGATTATTTATTCCAAATCCAAAATAATATACTAATGAGTTAGAATTATTAAATGAATACAGGACAGTTGCTGGATATAATGTCAACATCAAAATTAATTTTATTTGTACATATTAGCAACAACCAACTAGAAAATGAAATTTTTAAAATACATTATTTTCAGTAACTTTGGAAAAATATCCACTAGTGATAAGTCTTTAAAATGATGTGTAAAATCTCTCCACAGAAAACTCCAAACATTAGTGAGAGCTAGTAAAATGCATTGTCTTTGAGTTGATTCCAACTTATAGCAACCATATAGGACAGTATAGATCTGCCTCATAGGGTTTCCAAGGCTGTAATCTTTTCAAAAGCAGACACATTTTTCTCCTAAAGAGCAGCTGGTGAATTCCAGCCACTGACCTTTTGGTTAGCAGCTGAGCACTTAAACACTGTGCCACAGGGCTCCTGAGGAGAAGTAAACAGAGTTTAAATTAACAGAAGGATATACCATGTTCCACCAGCCACTCCTCGGAAGGAAGGTTGGGCAATCCT